CTGGGCCCCGCCCCTCGCTGCCCACTCTGCAGGGCCGGGCCCTCGCGCGCTCATTGGCTCTGCCCACCGCACCGGCTAGCCCCAAGCAGCCCAGCCATTGGCCCTCGCGTGTCACGTGACTAAGAGACCCAGGGGGCGGTGGCGGCGGTGGGGGAAGGAGCTCGGAGCAAAAACAAAGATGGCGGCCGCTCCGGGGTCGGTGGCCGCGGTAGCTGCGGGGGGACGCGCGGGCCGGACCCACTGAAGCGGCGCAAACTCTACCTTAACCACACAATCAAAGTCAACATCAACATAAATTACATGCATGCTTGGACTCTTGATAAGACACAGTCTTCTTCCCCAACACCCACAACTCCAGTCAAACCAAGAGAAAACCATCAAACAATTACCAATTGATGGGGATTCTATAAAATACCCGACTAGGTTTCAAAATTGTCAAAATCATCAAAAAACAAAAAAAGTCTGAGAAAATGTCAGAGCCAAGAGAAACCTAAGGAAACTTACCAACTAAGTATGATAGTTTGGATAGAATACTGGACAAGAAAATGACAACTGGTTGAAAACTAAGGGCATCTGAATAAAGTTAATGATACTGCACTATTATTAATTCATTAATTGTGACAAATTACCAAACTAATGTAATATGCTGATATAGGAAAAACAGGATGTGGGGTTTATTTCATTGGGTTCTAAAGGGACTTCTGGGGATAATGCTGTTCTCTATCTTGATGGTGGCAGTGGAAGGACCACTGTAAACATCTGTTAAAACTAATCAGTTAACCCCGCATTGCTGAGCCCCTGAGACCCGGGAGCTCCTCTGTTCTTTCAGCAGCCACCTCCCCAAACCTGCCCTCAGGCTCCTCCTGCACCCCTTCTTCCTCCGGAGTGGAAGAACCCCCCGGCCTCCTTTTTTCTGGAAAAATACTGAGAAGAGAGGGGATGCCTCCCCTCTCCGCATTCGGGTCTGAATGAAGCACCTGCATCGAGCGCCAGTCTTGGGTCCCTTCCTAGTCCCACCCGGTGTCTCTTGAACACGCTGTGCCCTGGTCGGCTCCTGGCCCCGCTCCGGCCCGCCTGCCTCACCCGGACCGGTTTCCTAGGCTACGCGCTCTAGGGGGTCTGTCCACCCTCCTCCTGGCGACTGTTTTCCGGCTTCTTACCCGGGTCAGGGCAGTTTAGAGGGTACCTGGCCCAGGTGGGTCTGAAGAAGGTACCACACTCTGGCCCCAGAGCTAGTTTAGTGCACAGGGTCCTGCCCTCTGCTTTGTCTGTCTCTCCACCTGAAGCCCTCCGCACACACCTGCCTGTTCCAGCCCCTGCGCCCCGTGAGGGATGAAGCAGGCTCCTCGTCACTTGCCTGCACTACCGGAGACTGGGGGCCTGGGTGAGGGCCGTTGTCCTACGCAGCTCGGGGCTAGTCTGGGTTACCGTGTCCCCAGCCTCGGGGTCTCACCCTTTCTGCTGTGCCTGCCGTGTGGCTGCTTAGGAGGCCCCTGGCGTGCCAGCGAGGAAGTGGGTCCAGTTCTCAACCCTCCCTCCTGGCCAGAGGCTCCGGTCAGGGACGCCGCAGGCCTCTGGCCGGTGCCAGTGGGGAGCACGTGGCATAACCCCGCAGCCTGGGGGGCGCCTCAGGCCTCGTCCTCCAGCCCCTCGTCCTTGCCCAGGACCTTGGGTCCTCCCAGGTGGGAACTCCCTTGGGCCTTGAGTGACAGTCCCGGGAACCAAGCCGATGGTATGGGGCCCCAGGGAGATCTGAGGGCTCCTCATCCCCCTCCAGTGGGTGGCTCCTGGTCCACTTCGCACAGAGAGCTGAGCTCTGCCTGTGGCCAGAGCTGCTGGTGACCAGGCTCTGAGCCTGGCTGGTTCAAACCGGCCCACACTGTGCTGGGAGCTGAGCAGCTGTGATAGAGAATGAAGGTACAGGGCAGCACTGACCGGTGCCCTCCCCATGGCCTGGACATGAGTCGTAACTCATGGCTTCCCTGAGAAATGTCTGTGCAGCAGGGAGAGCCCTGACGCTGGCCCCACGCAAGCCTGTTCTTCCCAGTGACTCCTGGGCTGGTTGGGGTGCTTTCCACGTTGCCTCGAGGCCGGGAGAAAGCCCCAGCACATGGGATCAGCGGGCAAGCCCTTGGCACTGTAGGGCTGACTGGAGCCCTGTCCGGGGTGCCTGGTGAGGGTGTGCAGCAGGGCTCAGGCCGCAACCGGAGTGGGAGGGGCCCGAAAGCGGGGGCAGGAGGGAAGGTTTCTTGGTGACTTGCTGCTGTGCGGTGTCCCATTTCACCCCCACAGTGACCCTGGATGGGGACATCGAGGGCAGAGGCCCCAACAGACCTGGTTGGCACCAAAGCTGAGTGTTCTTGGGAGGATCTTGGTTCCACACGCCGCCTGGAAACTGTGGGCCCAGAGCTTTCTGTGTGTCCTGGGTCATGCCCATGGCTGGCCACCACCTGTTGGCCTGGGCTCAGCCCTTCCCCTTCTGCGGTCCTTCTTTGAGGAGCAATGTTGGGCTGGTTTGGGCCACTTTTTCCTGACCCCTTCCGGACCCAGGCTCAGGGTGGGCAGCAGCCACACCGTGCCTCTGAGAGCTGTCCCAGCTGGAGTCTGTGCTGCTCCTGCACTGGCTGTGAGGACACTCCATGGGCCTGGAGTCAGCTGAGTGCTTGGTCCCCCAAGAGCTTGCTCTCTGGCCACCAGACCCCCCTTTCGTCTCCCCAGGAAAGCCTTAGTGGTGGTCAGGGCTCGCGTTGGGCAGGTGATGGGCAATCAGCTGCTCTCAAGTCTGAGCCTCAGCCCTGCAGGGCGGCCCTCCTGGCAGGTGGTGCCACACGCCTGGGTCGGGGCCTCGAGCAGCACTGAGGCCAGTGGGTCTCACTGTGGCTAGAGCAGGTACAGCAGCTGCTGGCTTTGATGTTCTTTGTGTGGGTGTGAGATGTGTCCTTGTATGTGACCACCTTCCAGAGCCCCAGGCAGGAGGACACTGGGGTGGGAGCAGGGGGGCTGCACCCTTAGCTCTAGGCTGCGTCTGCTCTGGATGCAACTGTGTGGTCATAGCCGTGGGACCTGCCCCTTTGCCAGGGGCACCTTCTCTGGGACAAACCGCTTCTGTGGAGCCACGGCCTGATCCCTCCCTCCCTACCTCCCTCCCAGGCTCTCCCCCTGCCCTTCACACGAGGCCCAGTGCATCCTCCACCCCGTCCTGAGGTTAGCTGAGGCCCTGAGCCATGGAGTGTCTGGAGGGAGGGACCGCGTAGCTCTTTCACTCCTCACTGGTGCTCAGCCAGAAAAGCTCCCTGTGACCCTCATCAGGGGGAAGGAGCTTCTGGGAGGTGGTCCCAACTGGCCCTCTGACCCCTATGCCTAAGCTCCTGGCCTCAGACCCAGGCCTGTTCCACCTGGGCCCCTCCCACCTGGTGCCCCTCCTGCTTGTCCACACAGGCCCTGCTGTGCCTCCTCTCCCTAAGGCCTCCTGTCTGCCCAAACTCAGCTCAGGCCCTGGCCCACGGGGCCTTTTACCTGATTGGTAAAGGGCTCAGGAAGCAGGCGCCGGTGAGTGTGGCACAGGCATTGGGGAGCCTCAGGCACACCTCGGAGCAGCTGTGGGCAGGCCTGGGGCTGTAGGCACTATTCCAAGTAAGTCCAGGTGGGTTTGCTCTCCAAGGCCTGGGGTCCTCCTTCCTGCTCTCGGGCGGCGGCTGGCTGGCTCGTGCTTTTAGGTGAGACAGGTAGCAGGGAGGAGTTTTAAATGTATCTGCTTAGGTGTCCAAAGCCAGGGCAGAGAGAGGGCTCTGGACTGGCTAGATGAGAAGCTGTTTGTGTGGTGGTTTGTCGTGTGCGTTACCTTGTGGTCCAGGCAGCACTTAGTTATGAGTAATGAGCCTGACTCAGTCCGAGTGACAGGTTCCCACCTGAGTCCTGGCTCTTAGCGTGGCCAGGACTTCAGACTGAAGTGTGGCTTTCACCGAAGCAGCTGGGTGCCTGGGACGCTGCGGTCCCTCCCACACCCTTTGATCCAAAAGGGGAGGACACTTTGGGCAGAGCACGTGGGATATGTGGTGCCCAAGGCCCTCCTGGGCATGGTGAGGGGGACCTCCCGCTGGGCTGAGTGGCCCTTGTGGGTCTGGTGCCCCCAGCTGTGGCTGCTCAGCAGGAGGCGTCTAGACCTAGAGTGGCTGGCGCGGGGCCCGGGCCCAGGGGTGTCTCCATGTTGGTGTCCAGTTGGCCTTACTGAGCCAGAAGCTTTGGGGCTTGGCCTGAAGTTTCCTCCCGCTACCAAGTGGTCAGTCGGCCGTGTCGCTTCCCTCCCTGCCTCTGGACAGGGACAGTGCTCTTCCCGAGGCTGCAGCAACGCCAGGCTCTGTGGGCTCAGGCCCTTGGTGAGAGGAGTGTGATCTGAGCCCTTGTCTGCGCTTCCCAGGAGGTGGCAGGGGCCTGGGGCATGTGTACCCCACTGACCCCCACTCACCACTTCTCTGGGTCTCCACTGCTCCCTGTGGGTGGGCAGGACAGACTGCTTCTGGGACCAGCCATATGTCCAGAGCGGGACGGGCGCTAGCCCAGGGGTGGGCAAACTTTTTGACTTGAGGGCCACAGTGGGTTCTTAAACTAGACCGGAGGGCCGGAACAAAAGCATGGATGGAGTGTGTGTGAACTAATATAAATTCAAAGTAAACATCATTTCATAAAAGGGTACGGTCTTTTTTTTTTTTAGTTTTATTCATTTCAAACGCGGGCCGTAGTTTGCCCACGGCTGGGCTAGCCCCTCCCAAATCTGCTCTTCCAAGACTGAGCCAGCCAGCTCCCCCCATTTTACACTGACTTAGAAAGTGAGGTTTGCGTGCAGATCGTCTGTGTTGCTTGTGTGGGCAGGATTCTGTTTGCCCCAAGAGGACACTTAGCACAAGCCTTTTATTTTTTAATTTTTTATTTATTGATTTCAGGGAGAGAGAGAGAAGCATCGGTTTGTGGTTCCACTTGTTTGTGCCTTCACTGGTTGGTTCTTGTATGCGCCCTGACCGGAGATCCAACCTGCAGTCTTGGTGAATCAGGACGACGTTCTGACCAACTGACTGACCTGGTCAGGCTCAGCTCAGCTTTATTCTTTTACCTCTTCGGCCCCTGTGTGTACCTCCTTCCCCCACTGAGCCTGTGGTGGCCCAGCCCGTGGTCCACCGTGCCTGGTCTCGGCACCACATGGGTGCACAGGAGGTGGGTGGAACTAGTGAGAGACCCGGGATAGGCGCTGAGCTGGCAGCCTACTGTCCACAGGCTCAGGGCCTCAGTGGGGGCGGCAGGTTGCTGTAGGCGATCTCTGGGCCTCAGATCTTCAGGTTCAGAAACGGAAGGGGGCGGAGGCTGGCTCTTACCCACAGCAGCAACATGTCCCCCTACCCTTTCTCCCCACCCATTCCCACCTCCCTCTGGCATGTACTGGCCAGGTGCCCTTGTCCCAGGCTAACTCGGCCTCCCCACCTGCATCAGCTTTTTGCCACCAGGTCTTGGGAAGGCACCTGCAGGTAGCCACCGTCACTGGGTGGGTGGCAACTGCCTGCTCACCCATGCCCATCAAGGAGGCAGAGGGGAGGGACCAGGTCCCAGCCCCAGCATGAGGTGGCCGTTCTGAAGGCCAGGGAGAGGCACACCTGCCTTGGCACGGGAGCAGCATCGGCTGCCCCTCAACAGCTGCTGGCATAGCACCGTTGCCACGCTCCACCAAGCGTCCGAGTCCCTGTAGGCACCCAAATCAGGGGCCTCAGGACTGTCTCCGACTCCTGTTATGGGAAAGACCAGGCTCCCCACCAGCAGGCCTGCCTCGGTGATGAGCCGGAACCTCTGCAAGCTGCCACGGGCCACCCTGCAGACCAGCTCACAAGAGCCGGGTGGCTGTTTCAGCAGGGCTCTAGGGAAGAGGCCTGACCCTACTAAGCAGTGTTCCTTTGGGTGCTGAGCACCAGCACGCCCCTCCCCTGCCTCTGTTCATGGCAGCCCCTCCTACGGCGCGAGCCCTCAGGGTGGCTGGCCCGGCCCTGGCGGAGCTGGCGGGCAGCGTGTGTGTGTGCGCGCGCGAGTCCACAGGTCTGTGAGCTCATCTCCCTTTCCTTCTTCGCAGTGTACTAACGGTCACTTGATGTGCGCTGGCTGTTTTATCCACCTACTAGCAGATGCCCGGCTGAAGGAGGAGCAGGCCACATGCCCCAACTGTCGTTGTGAGATCAGTAAGAGCCTCTGCTGCCGCAACCTGGCTGTGGAGAAAGCCGTGAGCGAGCTGCCCTCCGAGTGTGGCTTCTGCCTGCGCCAGTTTCCCCGCTCTCTCCTGGAGAGGCACCAGAAGGAGGAGTGCCAAGACAGGTAACCGCCTGGGCAGGCAAGGCCTCAGCGTGCAGCATGCTCTGGCTGGTCCTGGTTGCCGGGGACTCGCGTTCTGCCCTGGCAGGGCTGGGCCAGCGTGAAGCTGCTCAGGGTCCAGGCCCTGCAGTGGGTGGGTGTGGGGCCCCGCGGAGGGCGGGAGGCTTGGATCTGTACACAGTGACTGTCTGGACATCACCCTGGTGCTCTAGGGTGCTCTGGATGTATGGTGGCCTCTCAGAGGCTGTCCTTGGCATCCCTGGGACCAGGAGAGTGGCCAGCTCCGGAGCTCTGGGGTCTCGGTGTGAGGCACCCCAGCCCAGTCCCGGCCACTCCGCAGTCCCCAGCAGCTGGGCCTGGCCAGAGCCTCACTCAGAGTGAAGCTGGACCAGGTCCGGGAGAGGAGTCGGCAGCCACTGTCTCCAAGCAGGACAGAGACCCCACAGCAGTGGGTGTGAGTGGCTTGTGCTCACACAGCTCCTTCTCTCCGTCTTACACTCTGGCCTCTTCCTGGGTGGCGACACACACTGAGTGTGCGCTTCAGGGAGCGGCTTGTGTGTGGCTGAGTGGAGGCCTGAGGCTTAGGCCTTGACCACGGTGCCCCCTCCCCCACAGGGTGACCCAGTGCAAGTACAAGCGAATTGGCTGCCCGTGGCACGGCCCCTTCCATGAGCTGACTGTGCATGAGGCCGCCTGTGCCCACCCCACCAAGACGGGCAATGAGCTGATGGAGATCCTGGACGAGATGGACCAGAGCCACCGCAAGGAGATGCAGCTCTACAACAGCATCTTTAGCCTGCTGAGCTTCGAGAAGATCGGCTACACAGGTGAGGCGTCCGCCACCCCTGCAGGCCACAGAGCCTGGGGCTGGCAGCTGGGAGCCCGGGAGCACTGGGCTCTGGGCGGGGGCACAGGCCAAGCCAGGCAGCGGGGCTCTGAACATTCTCCTGTTGAGTGGAGGACACCTTGGGGGAGAAGATGGACCAGAGGCTGAGCAGGGAGGAGCCCAGGCAGGACCACAGGCACCTGCAGGGCTCTCACAGGCCCCTCCCACCCGTCGTCCCCACCCTGGCCCTGCCACCTCAGCAAGGTGGTGTCCTCGCTGTGTGGGGGATGGGCAGGGGTGTCTCGGGGGCCCAGGAACTGGTGGCCTGCCCCGCAGAGCCAGGGGCCAGAAGAACTCTCGCCATGTTGGGTCCTGCATGTGGGTGTGAGGCTGCAGTGGCCACAGAGCTCCTAAGGCCGCAAGAAGATGCTCAGGGCCAGGGCTTCAGAGCAAGCTGAGGGTGCCCAGCTCAAAACGCAGAGCTGGAATGGACACCAGGGACAGGCAGGCTGGACCGCACCCGGGCCCACTGGATCTCCTGGGCTCTCCTGGCCGCTGCTTTTGGACGTGCTGGGAACAGGAGCCAGGCCAGAGCCTGGTCTAGACACAGAACAGCCAGAAGCACCTGCTGATGCTGGGGCCGCTCAGGGAGACTCCAGCCTCTACTGCCCAGCCCATGCCGGCGGCTGGCTCAGAGCACCAAGGGCGGTCGCTGGCAGCCAGTCACACCATGCTGCCTGGACTGGGCCTGGCTCAGTGTGGGCCTGCACAGGCCGAGAGGCTGAGGGCCTGGGGCCTGGTTAGTTGCAGCCTCAGTCTCCCTGGTGGGCACCGCAGCACCAAGAGTCCAGGCCAGACCTCGGTGTCTGGGCAGGCCAAGGCGTCGTGACTTGGGCAGTGGCAGGGCAGGGAGCCCATCCACGCAGGAAGGACTGGCCGCCTCTGGAGGGACAAGCCGGCCTTGGGCACGTGCTGTGCTGAGGACTGTGACAGTAGAGCACAGCAGTGGGCCGCATGCCAGCGCTCGACTCTGGCCGGATGCCACGCACTGGCCTGCCTGCCGGCTTTCTGGCAGCTCTGTATGGAACCAATAAAGTGCACTGTTCTCAGAACTGCATCCTGTCTGTGTGTCTGCTTACCATGGCCCGGGGGCGGGCGGGGGACAGGAGGGAGGCCAGGGGGTGGGCTGGCCACCCACCTCACTGTCTCTGGACTCCCTGCAGCTAACGCGTGTCCCTTCTCTCCCCGAAGCTTGTGTGTGCCTCCATTTGCCATAATTGCCTTTGATTTGCCTTGTGACAAGTAGAGCACCCGTGCCCTCCTGGTAAGTTGCCTTCCTCCCTGGCTGAGCCCGTGTCCTCGGCTGGTCGGAAGGCTCTGCTACCAGCCCAGCCCACCCTGACTGCCGGCCCGTCCGGCCTGTCTGTCTCCACAGAGGTCCAGTTCCGGCCGTACCGCACGGACGACTTCATCACGCGCCTGTACTACGAGACACCGCGGTTCACAGTGCTGAACCAGACGTGGGTCCTGAAGGCGCGAGTGAACGACTCAGAGCGCAACCCCAACCTGTCATGCAAGCGCACGCTGTCCTTCCAGCTGCTCCTCAAGAGCAAGGTCACGGCACCCCTGGAGTGCTCCTTCCTGCTGCTCAAGGGCCCCTATGACGACGTGAAGATCAGCCCTGTCATCTACCACTTCGTCTTCACCAATGAAAGCAACGAGACGGACTACGTGCCACTGCCCATCGTGGACTCCGTGGAGTGCAACAAGCTGCTGGCCGCCAAAAACATCAACCTGCGGCTCTTCCTCTTCCAGATCCAGAAGTAGGCGCCGCTGCGCTGCCCACACCTGCCTGGCCACGGCTTTGCAGTGCTGTCTGACCATTTCAGCAGAGGAGGAACAGACGGGAACACAGGAAAGTCTGCATGCGTGTGCGAAGGTGTGAGCGCTCACCACCTGGCCCTCCACCTGCCTCCCTGTCCAGGGCACGGAGGCTGGTTCAGGGTCACCGCAAGGCGAGCTCAGCAGACTTGCCGGCCTCTGCCACTCGGCGAAGCGCCTCACCTGCCCTGGGCCGCACACAGCTCCTGGGCCGGGCTCGGGCGCTGGCTTCAGACAGCATATCTGATTGCAATTAAAAAGGCACCTTGTTTCCTACTTTCTGTTTTGTTCAAGGGTAAGGCGTGGCTGTGATTGGACAGCGGGGAAACTTTGGTGGGCCTGGGGGTCAGAGCCACTCATCCCTCAGCGTGCCCCTAGGAGACATGGAGATGCTGCTTCCTCCACCATGGGCCCCAGCAGGGGAGTGGACAGGGGCAGGGGTCTCATAACAGCCTCAGCGCACCCCCCAGCCACTCCAGGGAGGCAGGACTTGGCCACCTGGACTCAGCGGATGTTTCGGAATGCAGGGTGAAATTCTGTCTCTTCCCAGGAAATAAATGAAATTCTTTATAGGCTCCTCTGTAAGTTATGCAAATTTAGCAAGAGAGAATCTATTTTCTGTATTCAGCTTTGAGGGTGAAACACCCCAAGGCTATGAGGAAAGCTCTGGGAGCCACTGGTGATGGCAGAGCCTGGCTGGTTGAGGGTCAGGTAAGCCAGCTGCCCCATGCTCTCGGAACCCGTTGCTAGTCCTGTGTCTGGGACCCACTGTGAAGGTCAGCGGTCCCTTCCTAGCCTCGACTTTGCTGCCCCTCCCCCCCCCCACCTCCCGCACAAGCACACACACACATACACACACACACACACCCTCCCAGGCCTCACGACCCTGCAGCCCGGCCCCAGTGAGCATGCCGGGTGTGTGGGCCTCGGGGTACGAGCAGCCCTGTCTGGAGGATGCTGGGACCCTCATAGCTACTGGAGAGGGCCTCCCCCACTTTGCTAAGGAGACACGGCTTTTCATTGTTTCGATACCAAAGAACCGTTTCCTTTGCCCCCGGTCAGGCCCACCCTGTGCCTCAGAGCAGTCCCATTGCTCTGACCCCACAGGGCTCCGTGGGCAGTGCAGCCACAGCTTGGCCTCTCAGGCTCCTCCCTCTCCTGGCCCGCCACTCGGTTCCCCTGCCAGGCTGGCTCCCCGAGTTACTCTGAGGAAACTATTTGGCTTCCTGCTCCAAGCCCAGGGCATGGGGTTTGGGGGCGGGGGGGGGACGCTCTCCTGCAGATGGCCTGGTCGGTCACTGAGGGTACCAGGAGGCACTCTACAAAGGACCCCACTGCAGCCCCTCCACCCCCTTCGATCTCAATTTGAACACACCCTGGGGTCGGTCCCACTGTCCTCAGGCTGCCCCCCACCTGGTGGACGAAAAGGAGACTTTCAGGTAGATGCATGTCACATGTCCTGTGTGTAGGAGATTGTGCTGTGTCACCGCATCTCGGCCTCTCTTAGGGACCGACATCCTCTCTAGTTTCTGGATTTCCAGGTGATGGTGTTGTGAGGGCATCCAGGCTGGGATGGGGCTTCCCAGTTAGTTGTACCTGGGTGGTTTGTGTGAGATTGAGTCAACAGAGGGAAGCCCCAGTGGCTCTCCTGGGGGCGGGGGGCAGGGTGGGAGAGGGCAGGTTTCTGTGTGCAAGTGAAGGAAGGTATATGGCTGCTTGAGACCAACAGCCTTCTGTGTGTGGCAGAAGGGTCCGCTACACACGAGGGCTTACAGCCCACATTGCCTGCAGCCAAGGGTGGGTGAGGAAGTGGGACTGCGCCCAGAGAGCCCTCCTTGTAGGAGGTACAGGTATGTCTGGGTTGCCCAAGAGGACTGCTAACACATCCCAGTCCTGTGATGTCACCTTGCAGCCCAGGGCAGCCAGGAACCCTGGTGAGTTTCAGCTTCCATGGGGTTGCCACAAACCTGTGGCATCATCTCTCTGGGCCATTGATTTACAGAGACACCAGTGGCCTGTCTCCAGGACCCCCTGCCATCTTGGCATCCTGACCTGAGCAGGTGGAAGTGCCACCTCTGCGGCTGTGGGGGCAGCCGGGCAGCGCAGACCCAGCTGCCTGCTCCTTCTCAACCCCACTCCCTGCGAACACTCCATTCTCAGTTCACCTAAAGTGAGACATTGCAAAGGTAATAAAACTAATTTTTTAAGAGTGGAGTGAGAGGTGTTTTTACCACTGTTGGAAATGATTTCCATGTCACTTTTGTGGTCTGCGTTCTCTTTGGATATTTTCTGTATGTAACTATAGTTTTAAAAAAATTCCAACCCATGTTTTGTCTGTGTTTCTTTATGAGAAGACCGCCTCATGGGCTTCCCTGGGCTCTGCTAGTCTCCCAGCCAGGGCTCAGCCTCTATGTCTGCTGGCCGCCAGCCTGGGGCCTCCCCACCTCAAGCCTCCAGCCCCTGCTCAGCACCACCTTGTATACACATATCCCTGTCCGATCAGTGGGGAAACTGAGGCATGGAGCAGTGGGGTCCTCTGAAGGGTAATCGGGCCCCCAGGACCTGGGCTGCCCTGAGAATGCTGGTGTTGCAGGGGGAGCCCGGCCACACCTTTCTAGCAGCTCTGTCTATTTCACTGAGCCAGTCTACTTCCAGGCCTTGCTCCCCCAAAACCAGGCCTGCCTGGGTGCCCAGTGGAGCACTGCACTCTTCAGAAGAGGCGGAGGGTCTCCAGGTCTAACTTCCCACCTCTGGCAGCTCCTCAGGCTTGACCTCGCCCACACCCCTATGGCCCAGGGTAGCCTTTCTTGGACTCAAGGACCCATCTGCCCTCCACATCACTCCCTCCTTAACAGGTCTTGTTGTCCACCACTGGGTGCAGCTTTACCCCTCTGGGAGTCTTCTGATTTCCACAGAGAAGAAACACACACCCCTGCCTGTGTGGGTCGGTTGGTTGGGCGTCATCCTGTGCACCAGGAGGTTGCCAGTTGGATTCCTGGTCAGAGCACATGCTGGGGTTGCGGGTTTGATCCTCCGTAGAGCCGTGCAGGAGGCAGCTGATCAATGTTCCCTCCCATACTGATGGTTCTCTCTCTCTCCCTTCATCTCTCTAAAAATCAATGAACTGTTCTTTTTTGGAATAATAAACACGTCCATCTCCCACTCCTTCCTTCCATGCCTCCTCCAGGGCCTTTGGGATGCCAGCCATGGCACCCAGTGCCCTGGGCATGCCAATGTGGCAGGGACTGAGCCCCAGGCGTGGCAGGTGCTGGAATCTCCCAGCCTGGGCCTGGATGCACCAAGCCGGAGCAGCCAGCACCGCGCGGGGCAAGTGCCACTCCTGCCGCCTCTCAGCACAGCCTGGATCTGCAGCTCTAACGGAGAAATACCTCCCTCCCCGGCAGCACCGAGTTTGAGTCTCCAAAAGGGTCGGTAGTGCAGCCACATTCTGGGCTCGTCGGACCACGTGGATGTGCACAAATTCTCAGCCTGCGGATCACAGATCACCTCCTGCATGAGGACAGTGCCCCCGTAGGAAAATTCGCACCTGTGGTTGGTTTGCTGTGTGTGTGTGTCGGGGGACGTCTGCGGGGCCCGGGCGGCGGGGGTACCTCCGCATCCAAACGAACCCGAGACCTGGCAGGCGGCCGCCCTCTCGGCGCAGCTCTTCCCGCCCAGCAGCAGTCAGACTACAGCTCCCGGGATGCTTCGGGCGGCTGGACTACATTTCCCGGGATGCTCTGCGCCGAGCGGGGCGGTGCTGCGCTTGCGCAAGGGCCAGGGACCGGGTTGCGAGAGCGCGGGAAATCCGGATTCTTCCCG